TTATAGTTATCGGATCGGAAAGAATTCTGTTCGCGTCGCGTCCGCTATTTAAACTTAACCTAACTTTGAATTTAAAACTTTGAAATTGTTTTGTTTTTACTAGGTATTTTAAAACTAAAGGGCTAAAGTGCTTATTTCCAGTGCTTTATTGTTCAACGTCTGCTAGTGGGTTTAGAGCAACAAGCAACAGATTCTCTTAGAAGGGCTAAGTCGTCATCTGCTGTAAACCTAAACCTCTTCATAGGTTCTTTAATATTGGAAGAGGCGGAATCCATATTTTGTGCCATATTTATTTAACTAAAACTAATCCCAGCTACTTAAATATCAAATTACCTAATAAAACTAAAGTAATAATTCAAAACAATTCAAACATAAACTAAAATAAAAGATCTCGTCGGCCGGCCCCGGTTGTCAAATACCCGCACATGCCCATTTAAGCAATTTTTAAACGTTATTTAGAAATAGCGCTTGGTGTAATTGATCTGCAAATTACGTCAGGCTGTAACGTTATTATCGGGCGTTGCGTTAAAAATTGACTCGCGCATATCCTAACCTGTGTCGTAACCATGATAAGGTACGCGTAAATACTGCATGACGCTATTCGGTTTTGCGATATCTCTCTAATAACTGTGCCGGTCAGGCACTGTGCACAGTTTTAGAGGCCATAAGTGGGCGTGCCTGTTGTTTTTTTTTCTGCTATTTGAAATAGAAATGTATTTTATATCATTAACCGACAGAGCTTTTCTCTGAATATTTTTTTTATAAGGAATTCCTATACCCTAAAGTTATTTTTTTAATTTTTTGTTAAATTTTTTTTATTTTTTCAAATAATAATTTTATCAAATAATAAAGCTCTAATGACCCTAAATCATAAAAATGAAACTATCTAGAAAAATCTTTGTCTGAGGGGCAGGCAACCTTAACAGTATTTTGAAGAGACACGAATCCTCCATTGAATATCGGAATAATATAATGGGTGTTCTATTTAAAATAAAAGAGTAACTTGCTTTTAAAAGTGAGCAATGTGCAATATTAATTTTGTCGCACCCTGTATAACTTTTCAGATCAAGTTTTAATGTTATTTAAAGTAAAATGGTTATTTTAACTACGTATTAGGCTATACCGGGTAAATTCCAATTTAGGTAGCCTTTATTGAAATTTACAAGTTCTACTTCATTTTTAGAAAAAGTTATAGATACATGTCAAAAACCTTACGTTTTAGTCATATACTTTTCTAATGGAGCTTACTTTTATTTTGTTCCTAGAATCCGAAAATCAATTAATATATAGGGTGTTCCATTACAAAAACACAAATTTGATGTGTAACTTTTTTGGGAACACCTTGTAGAACTTTAGATATTTAAAAAAAATTATCTAAATTAACTTAAACAAAAGATGTTATCTTGGGGACTATAATAAAAAAAGAAGAATGAAATTATTGGGCAACCTACAGTAAGATTGACCGTGGAACATGGCAAAAATGACAGCATTTCATTAGAAAGATCTAACTTTAGTTTAAAAATATATTTCAATCACCACTAATATATTTTTTCAAAACACTGGGCCACCCTGTATTTTACAGTATGATCTAGATCAATGACTAAAGAATACAAGGATATGCAGCAGAATTTGTGACCTTAGACGCCATTTTTTGGACATAACGAATGAGTCATCAGCTGGCCATCAGCGACAATTTTAGCGATTTTTAATAGTTGGTTATGTGTAGTGAACTTTGTATAAACTTTATTACAATGGTAATTTGTTCAGTTTTCAAGTGTAAAGGCGCAATGATAAAAAAGAGCCAGGAGTTACGTTTTATAGGGAAATAAACAGTCCACTACACTTTTTTAACGTTTTTTGATTGAATTTGATAATTCTTTTTCTGATATTATATGTACTTGATATGTGCTATACGTCGATACTAGTTTTGTACCTTTTGTTAACATTTTAGTATGTTTTTTCGTAATTAATTAGTATGATACCACCAAATACACCATAGGCGTAATGAAAACATTTATCAAAAATGTAAATATCGCTTAAGCGGCTATGTTAAGAAAAATATATACCACTGCACTATTTGGAAGAATGGTCACAGTTTAGTCTCGGATGCTATTTGTCCTTGTATTCTTTAGTCATTGATTTAGATATATTTCAACTAAATTTTTGACTAACCTTTCCACCACACTTTTCTTTATAAGAAACAGACTCTTCCGGCAAACTTAAAGTAGCCGGTTTCAACTGCTCAGGAGGTAGAAAATCAATACCCTTAAGTTTGTAAAGCATGTATGTTTTGCAAATACCCAAGATCAAGCCCAGTTCTTTGTGTAAATAGTATGGATGTAAAATTACAATATTTTGGAGACCAACAAAGCATGTTTCCAGCATCTAAAACTGATAATTTTTAATTTGTTACAAACTTCATAAATTTGATTCTTACTTTACTATAAACGAATGTACCACTAAAAGATTTATTTACATGTAAGAATGAAAGAAATATTGCTGCACATTTTTCAAAATAACTATAAAATTTTTCAATATTTTTAGGCTTAGGGTCATTTGGGATTACTGTACATGCTTCTAAACACTGTAAAGCGATAAAGGATAGTTCTGGTTCTTGAATATGACATGTAATGTATTGATGTACTTCTTCAATAATTGAATCTAAAAGCTTTAAACACAGTAAGAAATATTGATACATATATGAATATTATGTATAATGATCTCACTATGGTAATATTATGCAAGTTGTTCCTTAATAATCCTTCCAAAGCTTTTAGGATATCTGGAGTTACATTTTTGGGATTATTTTTTAAAGCTTGCAAGCACCACTGAAATAACAAATCAGTTATACATACATATAAATAGTTACAAAACTAACTTGAATAGAAATTATTAAGGTTGTTCCTTCGACAACAACATTTTGTGTCTTTATTAAACTTGTTACTAACTGACAACATTTTGGTACTAACAACGAGTCGTCGAATGGGATAATTGAACAACATTGATTTATTAACAGAACGGCTCTCTGTAAATCACAATAATATAAATTTATCATCAATCAATGATGTTCTGTAATATAACGTACCGTTGAGTTCTTGATGATAGGATAACGGTAATTCAAAGAATTTAGATCGTCTAGAGTTTTTAGAATTATACTTCTGTCTCCTTCAGTTCTTGCAAAGAGTAATTGTCCTATTTTTGAACTCAAATGATCAAAATTTTCCATTTTTGTATATTTTCATTAACCTCATTCTCTATTTACAAATGACAAAAAAAATAACAAATGACAAATGAAAAAAATAAAAATGTACCACAGATTATTTTTTTTAATCCCTGACAGGAAGAACCACAGAATTAGTAAAAGAAGGGGACAACTATCATAGAAAAACTACATAGGGGGTCCAACATAACCCTGGAAAATTTTGAGAAATCAAAATCTGTTTTATCGGCCTTGGTCATCTATTGGTTAGTAGCTGTAGCAATCTTTAAAATAGATATCTGTAATTTGTTTTTACACCAACTGCCATATATTGGCCAGGAACATTAATGATTAATAGAAACCTATAATATCTAGCGCAACTATTGCCATCTGGAGTATATTTCATGCACTAAACAAATAGACAGCAAATTTGAAAAAAAAAAACAATTAAATAAATCTCAAATTCTTTATTACATCAAATACTGAGAAAAATACATCTAATTAAACTCTATAATTAGCAGTTTTGTTTTTTCCTTCGTGGATATAGTTTATAAAGATTGTAAATATAATTCCAAAAAATAATACAGACTTGGTTCAGTAAAATGGATAAAAATCAATACAAAAATAAAGATCAAAATGCAGTCAAAGGTAGAGAAAGAGCTGAGAGAAAGTTATACATTTATAATTTAGATCATTCTTATATATTATTTTTTTAATATTTCACATAGAAACACCAATCACAGCGAAAGCTTGATTTTTTTCTCACAGACCAAACGTAATGAGAAAAGGTATACAGTCATACAGGGAATAAAATATTTGTTTTGCTTTTGTATATACGGGGTGGTCAATCTTTTCAGTAATATGACTAACAATCGATATAAAATCCCATTTTAAGAAAATAATTCCAAAACCATTGCATAAAACAAACTAGTTTTGACTCTTTGTTGATATAAATGTTTTTCTTATAATAAACTGTTACAATATATAATAAGTCTGCTACTAAATAGTGGACCACCCTGTATGGAAATCTTATTCTAGATTATATTTTCGGTTTTTCATTAACATTTAACATCACCCTTAAACACTTTAATAACTTTTGCGTTAACAATACCTATTTCTATAAAAGAATTTCTTCTATTAAATTCCAAATTATTTGTCTAGTTATACCGTATGATCCAAAAAAAAAACCAGCGTCAGTGATGGCTATGGACGCCGTTTTTTTTTCGATCATATGGTATTTAATCTGTGTTTACATAAACAAACAGGTTAAGGTGAGTTTATAGGCACCCGTTATGCGTCGTCCGTTCTTGGTTTTATGCAATTTGATTAGTTTATTTCAAAAATGTTCATTCATGTTTGGAGAGACGGAAAGACGAACGAAGCATGACGTATGCATGTAAACCCACACTTAGATAAATTTTTACATTGAAGTATTTTGTTTAGAACCATTTTCAAGCGATGTTGCCTCCTATCAATGCTATCAGCATTTAATTAAATCTATTATACAGGGTGGCGCACCTCATTCGCCTCGGTTGATTATACGAAAACGGAAAGATATAGAAATAAACTTTTTTATGAGTATATGTAGAGAGGCAATGTACATAATTTAAAATTATTTTCAAATGTACAGGGTGTGTCAGAACTAAGACCCATACCAAAGTTATATTTTTTTCTTATAGAACACCCCGTATTTTATTTAATTTTTGGATTCTTGGGCATAAAATAAGGCATTTATTATAAGGGTTTAATATGTTTAAATGCTTTGGTTTTTTAAGTTATTTAAAGATATTTAAATATGAGTGCTATAATAAAAAAGTTTGTCAACACCCTGTACATTACTTTTCAAAGTTAGTAGCTATTTTCAAAATCAACATTAGTTTATGGACTTTATTTAAATTTATAACAGTTTACTTTTATTTAATTTACCTACAATAGTTTAATAAGTAAGAAGTATTTTTTATTATTTTATCAAGAAAAATAAAAAAGTAGTTCTTTGATTTATATTATGATGACTTGTAGATATATTGGATTTTCTATAAAAGAACCAATTAAGGCAAATTCATTTTCTTCACTTCCAACGACAGGTTCCTGCCTAATAGATTTTTCATATACCACACTATCAGTTCTGCGAAATAGGAAAAGTATCCATTCTCTACCTTTAAACTCAGCACAAGAATTAATTCTGAAAAGCAATGTACAGGGTGGGTCAAATTCGACGCTTTTAAATGGAAACACCCTTTTCTATAGGAGATAGGCAAAAACTAATATCGGTGTCTGGAGCTCAATTTTTATCAAAAACATAATGGTGAAAACCGCACATCAATATCTGTTACCGTTTCGGAGTTACGGGGTGTTTTTCAAAAATGTGCATTTTTAACAAATCGCTGTAACTTTTTTGCTATGGAAAATTTTGTATTTTTATGAAAACATTTCCAAAGCACCTTTTTACGTAGAATTTAATGGTTTAAGTATAATATTTTTAAAATTAATAATTTAAGAGTTATCAACAGAAAAATTGATTTTTTATTTGGGACACCCTCTATATTTTTAATTAACTGAAAAGAATTTAAAATTACCTTTCCAAAAATATAGCACACTTGATATTTTGTTATAATCCCCTTCGAAATACAGAATTTTTAAAAGTTCGCCACTTTTAACTAGTAGGCTTTGGACCCCTTATTGGGGTGATAATCCCTTAATGGAACTCGAAAACATATTTTTCCAACAAGACAACGCACCGCTTCAGAACGCTGAAGTTATCAGCAAATTTTTGCAGCCAATTTCAAGAATATTTGAATAGCTAACCAAGATCCCAGCCGTTGGCCGTCGAGGCCGCCTGACTTAGTGCCCATGAATCTAATCCTATGGATAAATTTGCGGAAGAATAAAGGTTCCTTATTCTTCCGTATAATCTACACAAGGATTAGAAATACTTAGCAGTTATGAGAGGGTATCTTTCACTCCCTCTGAGTTAATGAATTCCGCGAGAAATGTTCAAAAACTGCCCCGTTTGTCCATAACAGAAGACGGTCGATATGTCGAACACTTGTAGCAAAATCTCATGTCTTAGCTTGCTATTTATTTTTATTGTTATTAGATATAGTTTAAATGTGTTGATGTTGGTTAAATATATTCTAAATTGTTATAAAATTCTGCATCTCTCATAGCAAATATTATTTTCGTTTTAATTGATGCTCACAGCTAGAACTTTTTTGCATTACAGCCGGTGCCGTTCAAAGCCTACTTATTTAAAGCGGGCGAATTTTTATATACTCTATATATCTCGAAGAGGAATCGAGCAAAATATCAAGTGTGTTATATTTTTAGAAAGGTAATTTTAAATTATTTTCAATAAATTAAAAATATACAGGGTGTCCCATATAAAGAATCAAATTTTCTGTTGATAATTCTTAAATTATTAATTTTAAAAAAATTATACTTAAACCATTAAATTCTACGTAAAAAGGTGCCTTGGAAATGTTTTCATAGAAATACAAAATTTTCAATAGCAAAAAAGTTACAGTCATTTGTTAAAAATGCACATTTTTGAAAAACACCCTGTAACTCCGAAATGGTAACAGATATTGATGTGCGGTTTTCACCATCATGATTTTGATGAAAATTGAGCTCCAGACACCGATATTAGTTTTCGTCTATCTCCTATAGAAAAGGGTGTTTCCCTTTAAAAGCGTCGAATTTGACCCACCCTGTACAGGGTGTGAATAATATATTCTATTGTAGTATGCATTTTTAAATATATTTAAATATCTCAAAAACCAAAGATTTTAAACATATTTAACCCTTAATAAATACCTATAATAAATACCTTTTTTTGAATCCAAACATGAAATAAAATACCGGGTGTTCCATAAGAAAAAATATAATTTTGGTATGGATCTTAGTACTGAAACACCCTGTATATTTCAAAATAATTTTAAATTGTGGACATTACCTCCCCACATATCCCCATAAAATATTTTGTTTCTACATCTTTCCGTTTTCCTATAATCATCCGAGGCGAATGAGGTGGGCCACCCTGTAGACCGTAAAAATGGTACAAATCTGTGGCAGCATTTTCAGTTTTGTAAAAAAGTAGGACAGTAATGTGACAACCGTATCTTTGTACTCATAAACGAAAAACTGTGTATTCAAAGTCATAAATTATAGTATGTAGAATGTAGAATGTTTAAGAGGGGAGTTAATCACCGCGACCTTATAGATCTATTGTGTGTTCCCCTTTCTTGAGTTATAACGAGTTATAACTCATCATACAGTCTCAGGGCTTTAAGAAAAGCCAGTATCTGAGACGGCTCCACAGAGGCCAGCTCTCCATCCTCGACATCAGACGTGCCAAGGTTCATGGCACGAATGGTCGTCGTCTCGGCACACTCAGTGATAAGGTGTTCTGGTGTTTCCCCATTTTCCCCACAAAATCTGCATTCGCCGTTGTTTCTCAGTTTCAGCCTACTGAGGTGTTCGTTGAGGAGACAGTGTCCTGTTAGAAACCCCGTGACAATCCGAAGATTGTTTTTACTTAAATCAAGGAAAACCTTTGATTTTTCTCGGTCATAAGTTCTAAGGAACTTTTTCGAGTGTCTTAGACCGTTGGAGGACACCCATTCCAAGTTACGGATGGAGTCTTCCAGATTCTTCAGTTCCGCTTTCAGTTGGTTCCCGTTTGGAAAACAGAACGGTTCTGGTCCAGTTAGTGGAGTGTTCGCTCCTTTCCTAGCTAGATCATTTGCTTTTCATTGCCTTCTATCCCTTGGTGAGCAGGCACCCAGAGTAGGAGGACTTTATTTTCTTTGCCTAATTTGTTGAGCTTCTCTAGGCATTCTTTGACCAACTTCGAATTGATGGTTACTGAGTTGATCGCGTTAAGTGCTGCTTGACTATCGGATAGGATGGCAATTTCCTGTTTTCGATAGTTCCTATCCAAGATAAATTGTACGCATCTTTCGATAGCGCAAATTTCTGCCTGAAGGATACTGGGGTAGGTGCCCATTGGTTCGGAGTATTCAGTTTTCGGCCCAAATACTCCTATCCCTGTCCCTGCTTTGGTTTTGGAAGCATCAGTATACCACGTGATGGTATGGTCTTTTATATGCTGAGTAAGCGTTTCTTTCTTCCAATCCTTTTTATTACTCAATACTACAGTGAGGTGTTTCTCAAAGTTGTAAATTCTTGGTATGTCATCCACTGGGAGTTGGAGAAGTGGAATTTTCTTTTTGAGGGTGTTCCAAGCCCCTGACCTGAAAATTCTCCCAGTACTGTTTCCGTCAATGACCATTCTAATCATTGTCGCATTGGCATAACTACCGACGACAATATGCAGTGGTGTTAGGTCTAGAATGACCTCCATTGCTGCTGTTGGACATGTTCTCATGGCACCTGTGATGCAGATACATGCCAGTCTCTGTACTTTGCACAGGGTTTGCCTTGCTGTACGTTGCTCTAGTTTTGTATACCAAGCAACTGCTCCATAAGTAATCATGGGTCTTACTATCATGGTATACATCCAGCGCAAAATGTTAGGGGCGCAGCCCCACCTATTTCCCGCCAGTCTTCTGCATATCATGAGAGCCTTTGTGGCTTTGCTGGTAATGTTCTTAATATGCCTGTTCCAGAGAAGTTTACTATCCAGGGTTATTCCCAGATATTTCACTTCCTGTGATGGCAGTATTTCCTTTCCATCTAGATGGATTCTTTTCAAGTTTTTCAAACTTCGCTTTCTGGTGAATGGCACTACTGCGGTTTTATCTGAGTTAATACTCAGCCCGACAGTCCTGCACCATCTCTCAGCGATGCGGAATCCTCTTTGGATAATATCACACAGGGTGCCTTCATGTTTCCCCTGTGCAATGATGACTATGTCATCTGCGTACCCTATGCAGTGTATTCCCGCTAGAGTTAATTCTTCCAGTAGTTCATCCACTACCAAGCTCCACAGTAGGGGGGAGGTCACTCCACCTTGTGGAGTTCCTTGCGTTGTTTTAACAACTACAGTTTTGGTACCTATCTCAGCCTCTGCTGTTCGTGTTGAGAGCATTTCCCAAAACCAGCGAATTATCGTACTGTTCGCCCCTCTTGTTTCAAGAGATCGCTTGACCACCTTGTGAGGTATATTGTCAAACGCCCCTGCAATGTCCAAGAAGGCACAAAGTGCTGTTTCTTTGCTATCCAGGCTTGCCTGTATTAGCTCAGTTAACTGGTACAGAGCAGTTTCTGTGGATCTGCCCGCTCTATATGCATGCTGACTATCGTGCAGTGGCTTAACCTGTAGATGATTTACTCTAAAAAATAAATATTATAGTATAACATAACCACTGCCAAATAAAGCTTTTTTCACAGTGACTTTACTAATAATACAGGACAAGCTTGAAATCAGAATGGTTTGCTTACTTGTATTTATTTATCCCTAATCCCTACCGTAAAATAACAACTAAAAAATAAATAACGTAGGGTAGACTCTTAGAATGTTTTGATCTAAACTGGTGTTTGATTTTTGATGGTTTATTTTAACATGGTAGGCATGCCAGCATATTTGCTGGGCACTTTCTTCTGTAGCTTAGTTTCTATTAATGCGGTAATTTTGCCAGGTATTTGGCCTAATTCGTTCTCGTCTAACGTATATTTTAGCTTAAGTTTTTCCACCATTTTGGTGTTTTTAGCGACTAGATTGACGGCATCTTCTAAACAATAGATCAGATCGTCTTGTGTATCGATAACCTGGAAAGAAAAAAATATTTGTATTCTTAACAAGTTTAATTAAAAGTCGATGTTGTATAAATATAAATGTAGTTCATACCATTACAAAATGTGCGTGCGTATGAATTGCAATCGTTTGGTAGATTTTTTAAGGTTCTGTATATTTTCTACAAGATTGTTTATAGTTCTCATTGTAACTTTCTTACGCAAGGCTGTCTTTCTTACCGATAAAGGCTGCACTGTTCTCCAAGCTCGGTTTACCACCGTTTTAATCGATCTTTTTCGCAAAAAAATCGACGGTGCGTCCCGTCAATAAAAATTGGACAAATTTACAAGTAGCCAATGTAATGAGTGGGCAATGTAAGAGTGTGTTTCGCGGTGATGTACTACTATGGACTCTCTACCGCGTGTATACTGGGTGCGTCTCAAAAGTGGCTCACCCCTATCACTCTTTTATTTTTGCATATAAAAAAAATCGAAATTTGGTATGTTAGTATATGACATAAATTAGGATTGATTGATGTATTCAATTGTTTTCGGCCACTTCCTGTTTCACCAGAAATTACTACAACTTTTGATTTTTAAATGTCACCCTCTGTATTTTTTTACTTTATTGGAGAGAAAATAACACTCTGAATAGAATGACATATCATATGTCAACTTTTGACATATTTGGAAATGGTTTATTTGAAATTATAACTTGCGGTTTGTAAGGAAAATTTTTGACTCGAAATACCAAGTGTGTGGTATCAAATTATTTGCAAAAAAAGCTTTTTCCAAATATGTTAATGAGCCACCTTCGTTTCATTTGAAAAAACTGAGATATGATTAAAAATACGATTTGAACATTTTCTAACTGGCCAGGGCAAGACACTAAAAACATTAAAAGATCAAATCTATTTTTCCAAGGCTCCTTGATTACGAATTACTGTTTTTAACATAGCCATGACACTCAAGATTGAACTTTAAAATACGATTTTTTATTAAGCGAGAATGTCAAAAGTTGACATATGATATGTCATTCTATTCAGAATGTCATTTTCTATCGAATAAAGTCAAAAAATACCGAAGGTGCCATTTAAAAATGAAAAAATTGTAGTCATTTCCGGTAAAACAGAAAGTGAGCAAAAACAATTGAATACGTCAATCAATCCTAATTTATGTAATAATATGACATAAAAAAAACGAGATTTTGTATGTTAGTATAAAGCTGGATTTATAAACTCGGAAGTTGGCGTTCAGTTGAGGTTCAGTTGCAGTTGGATGTTCTAAACTGCAGTTATAAACTGTCAGTTTCGGTTGTAGGTTAGGTTTGGAATTGTGAAAATTTCGAACGTTTTTCTTTCGATTTAAAAATACTTTTGGTATTTGTCAAAGTTCAAACACAGAAACACACCAAACCAAACACAGTAATCCACGATTACCCAAAATATAAACATTACATTAACAGAAATAATGAAACAACAATAAGAGTCATTTTCCAATGCCACGGCGTACTGTGCTTCACGTGATCGACTCGACATGCGCTTATTCATTGGCAGTCGCCGAACGTCGCCAGCGGTCGCCAACTGCCCGTAACTGCCGACAAAAAGATTGACCATCTTTGAACTCCGTTGAACGTAAAACGAACTGCCAACTTTTCGACCAACTGACTTTATAAATGCGCGCGTTCATTTCATAGCGTTGAACATTTTTAACGGCAACTGAACCTCAACTCCCGAGTTTATAAATCCAGCTTAATTATACTAACATAGAAAATCTCGTTTTTTTTATCTGAAAAAATAAAAGTTATAGGGGTGAGCCACTTTTGAGGCGCACCCGGTATAATAAATAGTTATTAAAATTAATAAGCTACAAAACACATCTAACTAACATTTAAATAAATGTGTTTTGTAGTAAATTGATGATACTCTAGTGTCTGCATTCTTGAAATTCCTTTCATAGACACAGGTCCAGTAGATGTGCTTTATTTAAATTTGACTGCCATCTAAACTATGTGGTTAAAAACAGAGTTTAAAACAAGTGTTTTAAACATAATACTGACTTTGAGGTTAAAACCGTGTTTAAAATAATAAAAAAACACGTTTTGTTTAAAAATAAAAACGTTTTGTCAATCCTGTTCAGAACATATTTGTTTTCACTGTCTACTAGTACTGAACTGTGTCTAATGTAAAAATGAGAAAAAGTAGTAAAAACAAAAAAAAATATTGTTTGAAATGATTAAAAATATCAACACTTACCATAGAAACATGCAAATTGATGCGACACACTTCGCATTCAAAATCCCCCTCGACGTTGTGCATCTTTTTCTTTTTGGTTGTCGTTTCGGGAGTAATTTTCTCTTCCTCAATTTTACCGAAACTCCTTAGTTTCGATCTGTACTCTTTTTCATTGGCACTCAGTTCTTCAATAAAGGGCAAAATAACCCTGAAAATACCAGAAAGTATTATATTTTATTTTTTTTTATATTTTAAAAAAGATAAAACTAACCTTAAGGCATCGACACTCGATCGAGAATCGTTGGCTATGCTGATCAGTAGTTTATCCAAAGAGAACATAGATGGCTCGCAGCTTGTCTTCAGATCATTGAACAGATTTCGGGCGGTTCTGAGCCAGTAGAGCGGTGCAAAGTAGACACTCTCGGAGACGACGTAGCCCGTACTGATGCTGGAGGTAAAAACTTTGGGGAAAACGACTAGGAATTGACCGGGTTCTTGAATGGTTCTAAAAAGAAAAAATAACATTGTATAATATACAATTTATATAGTCTGTGTCAGGAAAGATGACCATTACATCATATTGAATACTCCAATGAACTAAGAAATGAACGTATGATGGTGATATACTCTGTTTTTTTTTTCAGGTAAGATTTCGACAGACGATGACAGAAAAAAAAGCAGATGACGCCTATAAACCTTTGAATAAGAAGACTAAGGAAGGATCATAATGCTATCCATGTATTCATGCATGGTGGGCGGAAAAGCCACCATAAAAGATCTCTAGGGTGGGAATCCTTGACAGTTCTGTTTGACGATTCATTTGACACATTTGAATTGGATTTGAAATTTTGTGGATTTGTCAGTCTTTACGGAGATTATTTTATGTTATTTATTATTTATTCTACTACTGATAGTTGTATAAAGGTAGTAAATCTAGATGGAAATTCTGGCAGAACTTAAATTAACAGTGACACTATCGCGATTTATCGAAAAAGACTCTAAAATAGTTGGTTGTGTAGCGTGCGTAGATCTCGGCAAAATTGAGTGAAATAATGGAACAACTTTTCGCTAGTAAGTGACTATATAATATACATACGTGTAGTAAACCGATCATTTATGAAATTCACTTAAATTAACTAAATTATATATTTTTCTTGCATTTTAGCTTTTATTTATTACTTGTCAAAGATTAGATGTCAAAGAATTGAGATACGTTAATTTGACTTACCTGCTTCAGTAGCGTATCGGATGTTTGTGTTAATAAATACTTATTATAACTTATCTATTTTTTTATTAGAATTATATATTTTTATAACAATTTTAATAACTACCAACATTTATTCACAACGTAAAATAAAACAACAAATTATTGAGTCTACCCCACGTCTACCCTACATCATAGTTTTACATTTTTTAAATAAAATTAGAACGACACTGATAAACCGGAATTTAAGTCGGCCATATTTGAGGCCCATCGCGGTGTACCTAAGATTTTTGATATGCTCCTTCCTTAGTCTTCTTATTCAAAGCTATCAACCAATCATGCGTCATCTCTTTTTTTTAACCAGTTTTATTGGTCTATTTAAAAAATGACGGATCATATTTCAATATTATTAGTTGTGTTATATTATTATTTGTCAATGAACGACAAACGGACGGGACGCCGATGCGTATGAACCCGACTTAAGATTTTTGAGGGTTGTCAAACTCTTGCCAAATTATAGGTTATAATTTTGTGTCAAATTATGTCAAATAGAAATGATAAATATTTTGCATTGTGCATTTTGGACTGTGTTATTACGTGTGTTTCGTGTTAAATAAAATTTAGTGGAGGAAAACTCGAGGGAAAATTAAATGTTGACCTAGACCATAGTTTACAGTTAATATTCGGCCCAGAGACCATCAGAGATACAGTTTGCCAGAGACTATGGCCAGAGAGTTGTATTATTAACGCTATTGAGATTGAAAAAAAATAATAAAAGATACACCTAGATGATATATTGATTTATAAATTTCTTGGCTTTGTCAATGTACTATGGTGTTTCAAACTTTCACCAAAATATCAACATTTTGTTTTCCCTCGTATAATTGACAGATAGCAACTTTCAGTTTTAATTTAGAAAGAGGTATTAAAAAGTCAAATAATTTAGCTACAAACTGCTTAAAAAATAATCAAAATCGATCGATTAGAACACAATATATAAAACTTTGCCGGTGAGTGTATATTTAGTCTTTTTATTTCAATATTTAATTAATGAATAGAAACCAAATTTCTTGCAGTATAAGTATACAGGGTTGTTCACCACATACGACACGGAATATTGTAGCTAAACGATTAGATTTTTACAAATTGTAAGTTTTGGGTTCGTTGAAGGACGATTAGAGCTACAATTTAAAAATATTTTTACAAGATACAGAGTGTCCCAAATTAAAAAAAATATCAAAGTTATATTTTTTTAAATGGAACACCCTGTACATTATTGCATTTTTAGTTTCTACGATTAAAATAAAGGTAAATTTGATTAAGGTTTATTACACTTAAACCTTACCGTTTTTGAAATATTTTCAATTTTGTGAAATTGCAGTATAAATTTTAAGGCTTCATTTCTCCGAGGGTATCAAAGTTTTTAATACTAAATATTTACTGAAGTTTATTTATTGATCAGTTGTTGTGTTGCAATAATAAAAATTTTACTACCTTATGCAGAGTGTCTAAATATTTATTTTAAATAATTGTTAGATTTAAACGGCAATAACTTGTTTAATTTAAACACCCTGTATATTTTATGAGAGTCAGATGCACAATTTAATTGTCTATCAAATTGTATTATACCATTTTTTACCTATCTCTTCAAGCTTCCGTAGAAAATGCATTTTCTTGTAATTTGGAACTCATTTATCAATATACCCATGGAATACTGACATTTTAGATTATTTTTAAAGATGTACCAAATTTTTAAAAAGTACAGATACTAATATTGTCAATATAGTTCTTTATTTCATTAAAAAATAAAAAAAAACTGTTTAAATATTTGTTAAAAAGGATCAATTAATTGATTCCAGTATTCATTCATTCTGACATGTAATGCTTTACATTTTATTTTTTAATTTCCAATCGGTGAGTTTTATCAAAAAAACACAAGAGGTAAAAAAGTTTCTAAACAAACTAACTATCCAAATTAAAGCATTTGCATGTGTTTGATAAGATTTTTCTTTAAATTTCGTTAACAAGAATTATAGGGGTAGTTTATTTCAACCCCTTCCACTCATTTTAAAAAAGTAAAAAAATTACCTGAAAGTGTGTTTTCATAACAGTAATGCATCCATAAAATTTCATTAGTCTATCTCTTTTCGTTTTCAAGATAAAAAATAAAAACATTATTTTTCCGCCATCTTTGTACCGCGATATCTCCCTAATGGTTGACTTTTGACCCAACGTTTATAAAGCAAACTACCCTTTATTTTGAACAAGGAATCACCCCCTAAAGTTTTTCGCATTTGTTTTGAAACACCCTGTATATCGGTTAGTATTAGATTATCCGTTCGGGACTTAATATATAATCGATACTTTCCGACAAGTCGAAATTAACTACTCCGCGCTGTGGTTGTCATTTTGTGGATCTGCCCAGGCTCACCTGATGATGGAGTAGGGCTCCGAAACCGGTAGTGAGAGCAGGTTGATTCACATTATGACAAACACAGCGTAGAATTAAATTTCTATATCAGCAGTTAAGTGGCAAGAATTCTTATATAATTTTATTTAATTAATGTAGGTGTAAAAAAGAATAAAAAAGTTGGCCACACTTTACCAATGCTTAAACTCGAGTGAACTCTGAAACATACTGAACTCGGCAAATCTATTAGTATATTCTTTTTGTGGTATAAGACTATAAATAAGATTATTAAAGCCCAGTTTAAGCTTCAAAAATGGCAGCTAATTTTGTACCAACTTACGGGTCATTGAAGAAAGTATTGAAATCATTACACAACCTATTTAAATCTGAAGTCACATATGAACAACTAGGCCTAAATGAAGGATCTCTAACAAAAAAGTCTCCGCTGGTTAAAATACAACAGGGCTTACCTGCACAATGACACGTTATGCTCCATCAACAATCCAGGCGGTACCATCGCCGTGTCCGACGGCAACCACAGTTCCTTGTCCCGGCAATAATTCGGCACCAGTTTCTGCATGGCCGCGTGGAACACCTCGCACGCCGAACTCGGTATGCCGTACCAGATTTTGGCACCGCCTGTGTGCAGGTACTCGACCCAGGGCAGGCCGTGCGGGTCGCGGTACCAACAGCACGTGCTGAACACCATGCCCACATGGAGGGTGGGTACGGTTACACCTAGAGGAAGGAAGAATCAACATTACTAAACAGTGCGTTTATTAAGCAAAAGAAAGCAATCAGATTAATTGGAAATCTGCAATTCATAGTTGTAAGGGTAAGTCGTTTTTATCAACTTTGCGCATAAACACTTTGTATAGGCAGACAATTCTTAACAAATTATGATATATAAAAAAAAATCTTGATAAATACAAATTCCACACAACTGTACAATAATATTTTCAAGATTTAAGTAGATGTCAACTTGGGTTTATATCAAATTGGGAAAAAATCATGCAAAATATAATTCTAGTAAACTAATTTGATGTAGGCGGTTACCCACATGCCATCGATCCAGATATTTTTTTATATTATTAAATAACATTAATAATTAAACAATTAAAATATTACAATCTCGGGATGATAATCAAACGCGAGTCACCGAAGTTCGATTCCCTCATGGCACAGAATATCTAGCTACGCAACAGAAGTCTCGTTACATGTATAAAATTGTAGGTAGCAAAAGGAGACAGGCTTTTAAAGCCTGTCTCCAAATCAGATATTTTGATGCGGTAGTTTCGCTACTACATAATAGAGGGCAATAAATTTAAAAGAAAACAGTTTTCTACAAACAAAATTTAAAAGAATTTTGTGCAGTGTTGCCATTGTGTAATTCATATCGTAATACTTCCTGATAAAGCCTACCTTCAAATTTGCTACATCATTTAAACATATTAAAATAGATCAGAGCTTTTTTTCAATTTGCCATGTTAGTTGGAATTAAATCTTATGAGTTAAATTACAATCACTTCCTGACGTTTGATTGTATAATTGAATCCTGAATTTTCATTGTAATTCGGCGACAATATAATAAGTATTGTTCTACTATTATGATACCACTTCCTGCCGTTCGACTGTGTTCATACCAAGTTCATATCGTATAATCGGGAAAAAACGGCGTCAGCGATGGCTATGAAATGAATATAGCTGTCATTTTATATATAAATTTATATGGGAAATGTCATCGATCATCCTTTTCCTGCCAACTGGACGCCGTTTTTTTCGGTATCATACGATATTTGATATATACTATTTTTCATGACATTACAATATTATGGTACCATGAAGCATATCAAGTGATACCATAATATAGTACCATATTACGATACATGGCGTTCGATTGGGCTTAAACTTGATATACTATATCTTCAGTGACATTGTAATATCGTGGTACCATGGAGCATATAAAGTGATACTTTCTATAGTACCATATTTGATGACATAGCAATATTAGGTACATGGGGGCAATAGGGCTTAAACTTGGTATACTACGTATTTTCGGTGACATTGTAATATGATGGTACTATGATGCATATAAAGTGGTACCTTAAAATAGTACCATATTTCAATACCATTTCTTGACGTTCGATTGAGCTCATATTTGATATATACTTGCGTATTTTTGATGACATTGCATTATTATGGTACCATGAAGCATATCAACTAGTACCATATTATGTACATGGCGTTCGATTGGGCTTAAATTTGGGATACTACGTATCTTCGGTGATATTGTAATATTATGGTACCATGGAGTACCAAGAGGTACCATATTACGATATCATTTCCTGGCGTTCGATTGGGCTTAAACTTGGTATACTACGTATTTTCGGTTACATTGTAATATGATGGTACTATGATGCATATAAAGTGGTACCTTAATATAGTACCATATTTCAATACCATTTCCTGGCGTTCGATTGAGCTCATATTTGATATATACTTGCGTATTTTTGATGACATTGCATTATTATGGTACCATGAAGCATATCAACTGGTACCATAATATAGTACTGTATTACGTACATGGCGTTCGATTGGGTTTAAACTTGGGATACTACGTATTTTCTAACGTTCCAGCATTAATAAATATCACTATCAATCGCCCTGTATATTATTAATTTTAAAGGTAATTAAAGGTATTTTGTTAGTTAACATTATAAGGTAGTGTATATTAAAAATGTATATGTTTTGTAATAATATACTTAAAACTATTTTAATAGCCAAAGGAATAATTAATATAAGTGTATCTGACAAGAAAAGAAGAATAGAAAGAAACACATACTGCATTAATTATACACAGTAAAAAGAATGGGATGCCAATTCAAGTTTTTTTGAATCTGGCAACTGTGCATATTTAGCCGAGCTACAAGGCAGTCGACGAGCCGTCGATCCAAAACCGAAAGTTCAAAATTTCTAATTATATTCTGATTATGATATTGTCGCGCCATCTAGTATTCTATTTGTGCAATTTTAGCTCTTTCATTTCGAGTATTTTTCTGTTGCGTAGCTAGATATTCTGTGCTCATGGTCATAGCCGGGTGAGTGTAATTATATTGTAAACTATTTTGACGACGTAATCGGCGATGATTACGAGGAATAGAAGAATAAAAAGAGTATGCTGAAGAGAGCGAGGTTAATTCCTAGTTAGTCAATGAGTCGCATTATGAGTTTATAGTCAGTTCAAAGTTAGTTCTTAGTGAGTTGATAGTCAAATGGTTAGTCAGAAGACTATTAACACTACATACTGCAATTTTCACATTAAAATAGCAAGTTAGTAGCCAAATCTATATAATAGAGGTCCAATAGTATATTGCTGAATCCCGAAACTCCTAAAGCACGTCATACGATTTGTTAATACATTTTGATTTTTTGAATTTTTGAAACAAGAAACAAATTTGATATAATGTGCACTGACAGAGGTGTATTAAAACGAACTTACCCATAACTGGACCCAAGGATCTCAAAACGGAACCGTTATTATTTGTAAGAACCTTGAGATTCCAGGGATGTCTGGCGAAAGGACTGTTCTTGGATACCGGAAATCCGTAGCCCCAATTTCCGCAATCGATGGACGCCGAATGGACGCAGATGTGGTTCTGTTTTTGAGTTACATAACGCCAGAATTCTTGCTCCACCTAAATATTTAGATAATTCCTCTAAATTTGTCCAATTATTTTACTTTACTTATTTTTACTTAATTATTACTTTATTTTTTATTGTTATTTTTAAATAACCGTTAAGGTTTCAACTGTTATTTAGAAATTAAGTTTCACACACCTATGTTCTTAAAAATTCACAAATTAAATATCAAACTTTTGTCATTTTAAACTGTTATTTTTACATAATAACAGTTATAGTTCTAAATGTTATTTAGAAATAACAGTTCCACCCACATCTGTTTATAGAAGTTCGCAAATTTATAGAAAACCTACAAGGCGGAAAAAAAATAATACCTACCTCTTGAGCGGAAGGTTCGGCAACCTTGAAGTACATTGACATGGTGTTCCTAGCGATCCTGTAGAATGCATTTAGCGCCATATTTTTTCCTTTAATCGTACATTCCTCCGCTTCATTATCATCAGAATAATCGTCTTCTCCGTCAGACATTTCTTCAGGTTTCTGATCAGTTTTCATCTGAAGATTTTTTGATTCTCTTTTAGCCCAGTAAGTTTCCACTTCATCAAAGAGTTTTTCTCTTTCAGCTAAATAAAAATATTAGATCAGTATTACATAAAAATAGTATCTATATAATATACCTGGTGATAGCGTATCATAGGGTAAAAGATATTTGCAATAAATATCGTCCAGCTTAGTCACTCTATCTTGCGCAGATTTGGGAATTTTCATGTTATCCGACACCTTGGGCCATTTTTTCTTCTCAATAACTTCTTTTAGACCTCCCAAACTTTGTACAGTTTGGTATAATCTAGGCAGATCGACTTCCATACCTCCAATCTATGAAAAAACAAATAAAAAATATATAATCAAATTTGAAGCATTCGAGCGTTAGTTAAGCTACCCATGGTGGTGTTTTCAATGTGATGTTCTGAGTCGCTAGATATTTCCTAATAGCTATAAACTCCTTGAAATTGGGACCCCATCTGTGTAGCATTTTGTGAACGTACTGATTGTAAGCAGTGAATCTCATATCGTCAGATACTTTGCATTCAGGTTTGAAAGAAGTTGGCGGTACGATTTTGCAAATTCCAAACTGTTCAGCTTTGTGCCTAATGCGTTCTATGTATTCCAATGGATCTTGAAACTCTTGTTCTGAAATATTGACAAAATATTACAAAATATAACGTTAAGGGGAGTTAGCTTTATCTACAACAACAGTTTCTAATATTTGTTTTCAGATTTTTTGCTCTTTCAAGACCTCGTTCAAATTGAGAAATATAGGTATATGGTAGATCTCGATAAAAGAAACATATTTTCTCTTTACCGTTTCTCAAATAGCCGAGAAAATTTAAAAAAAAATGATTTTCCGCTGGATATTTTCTGGGTTCTCTTTCTTGTAAATTTAATCTACTACCTATGTTGTCATATTGTGAAGATATTATGTTTTTAACTAAAAATTAAAAAACAATTCCAAAATTTTTTTAATTTTTCAAAAAAAATTCAAAAAATTTCAAATTTAAGAAAAAATGTCTGCGAAAAAAAAACCTGATAACCATGTTTCTGGGTCGAAATATAACTACCCTTAGAATATATGCAATTTTTTAACACTTACCCTGTATATACCGGGTGAATCTCAAAAGTAGCTCACCCCTATTAATTTTTTTATTTTTTCAGATAAAACGAGATTAGGTATGTTAGTATATGACATAAATTAGGATTGACTGACGTATTCAATTGTTTTTGGTCAATTTCTGTTTCACCGGAAATGACTACAACTTTTGATTTTTAAATGGCACCGTCGGTATTTTTTTAATTTATTCGATAGAAAATGACATTCTGAATAGAATGACATATCATATGTCAACTTTTGACATTCTCGCTTAATTAAAAATCGTATTTTAAAATTCAGTATATGTTAAAATATTATAACCACCCCAAAAACGTATCTAGTGCACCAATCTCAAGTTTTATTTATAAACAAAGCTTCAATAGAGTTCAAGAAGATAAACGTATATCTAGATAGGCCCGCAAACTTCCATGAAAATAATCGTAAGTGGACAGTCTGGTTATAAATAGCCTGTGGTTGAAATTAGTTTAGGTAAAATAGTATGAATTAGAATTTTGTATATAACCTATATTGTTGTAAAATATGGCAACTTTGCAAGATGTAAAAAACTTATTTCTTTAGACACTTTTTAGAAAACAATTTAAACAATCTTACCTGTAGGATGAAACACCGGTGCCTCTACAAACTTCGCTGGATCAGTGGGTTTTGGGAAATCCGACACATAGACAGGCGTAATCGTCTCAAAACCCCTCCCCTTCTGCTTCTGGTTCGGCTTCTTATACAACTTGGCACTGCTTCCGCTACTCGCACTGGGCGAACTCGGAATCTTATACTTCCCATCGTCAAAAGGTTCAGGAACCCTCTCAAACAACGGCTTACTGCTTCTTTTACCGTGAAAACTCGTCGATGGGGGAACCATAGGTTCACTCTTAACCACCTTACTAGGCTTTGTGGGATTCAGAGGTATATTAAAGCATCTGGCATCTTCAGACTCCGAAGGCTTACGAAACGGACTTTGTTTAGGCGTATCGTCGTTCTTCGATAGTTCGTCTTCGGATTTAGAGGTGGCAGTACTAGAAGGTCTGCGTGAAGGTCTCCTGAAGGGCGTACAAATAACGTCTTCGTTTTCTTCACCGAAAGCATAGACACTACATTCGTTGTCAGGGGAAAACGCGTTCTTGTTCGGGGTAGAATCCTTCTTGTCTTTCTTAAAAATCCACTTTCTGTCACCCAAAGGAGACTTAAGAAGTTCGCTTTTTGGTTTTTCTTCTGGACTAGTTACAGGTTTAGGTTTGAAAGACTCAGGAGGTTCGACGGGTTTGGTTTCGGGTATTTCCCCGAACTTAGGCATAGCGTCATTTTCCTTCGCCACCACGCTTCCAGCCATTGCAGAATCTTTCAACCACTGTTCTATCTGCTCGTTGGACATATTCACCTTACCTTTTCTACCTATATCTTTATTAAGAAGGTCTAAAGAAGGAACCAGAGACTGCACAAAAGTTTTCGACTTCTTCAAATCCTCTTTGGAAGTGTCAAATCCAAGGAAGTAAGGTTCTGCGTCTTCTTCACTGCTGGATAACATAGGAAGGTAATTTGAGGGTCTCTTGGTGCATTCTCGCTTGGGTTTGGGTTCATTAACCAAAGTTACTTCAGCCAAGCTTTTATCTGCTGTTTTCCTACTCATTGTTGGTTTAGGTTTTTCAGTTTTCTTCGAAGTTAACTTTGACAAAGGTTCTTCGTCCGAATCGCTGAAACTTTGCTTGGATTTCTGAGAACCTTTCGAGCTCTTAGTTTTAGACAGTTTCTTGTTCCTCTGCTTAGTTTGAAGACTTTTTAAATTGATGTCTGATGTAGTGGATTCATCTGAATCGCTTTCTTTTTCCGCAATTACTTCAACAATCTTTTCTTTTTCGACTAAGACAGATTTTTCAGCTTCAAGAACCCGTGCAGCTTCTAAAATGATATCAACGTTAGTTTCTAACACGTTCATGACGGGTTTTGCTGCGCTTCTGGTCAGTTTTTTCTTGCGAGGAATTCTGACGTCTGCGTGAAAAGACTCATCGGATGAGTCAGTTTCAGAATGCTTGCCTGTTTGAGCGGATAATCTAGTTTGACGTTTAGGAGCTGTCGGTTCTTCTATGGGTTCTTTTGGTTTTGGCTCGATTTTCTTGTCTATAGCTATTTTAGTTTGTTCCGGTTTCTTAATCTTTTCTGATTGTTGTTTTGTCTCAGGTAATTCTGAATCAGGATTAGACGTACTTTTGGTCACAATGTTTTGAGGAGTTTCTGTAACAATACTGACAGGTGTATTCTCTATTTTGATTTCGGTATTAATACTAGGCATCGTATTCTCTTCAGTAGGTTTCTTCAAAATATCTTCTTCGTTTATAACTTTAACCTCATCAACTTTTTCTTCCTTTTTAACTTTCACAGCCTTTTTAACAACTTTCTTCTCTTCAACTGGTGCATTTTCGGGAGATTCTTTTTCAACATCGTCTTTGGTACTCTTTGCCTGAGCTTTAAGTTCAATTTCCCGCTGTTCTGTTCTTTTGACGTTAGGCAATTCAGGAAAACTGTCTATAGAAACGTTATCATCATCAATTTGACTTTCGTTTACCAGTTTATGGCTTAATAACTCCATGTAAATAGCTGCAGCTTCTTTGGTTTTTCTACTCGGCCTTGCAGAAGATTTTTGTTCGGGATCTTCACGTTTAGAAGGTGGTTTCCTTTTAGGAGGTTCGTCCTTCTTAACTTGTAGCTCTTTCTTTACTTGCTCTTCTTTCGGCGGGATTTTTTTCTTATTCTTATCAGCCTGAGGAGGTTTTAAAACTTCCTCATCACCTACACAGGGTGGTTTATCACTTGAACTTGTAGCTTTGATTTTTGGAGCAGGATTAGGTGGTTTCTCAACGATTTCAGTTGGAACTGCTTCCGTACTGGGCTTGAACCGTTTTATTTCAGGACCTTTATCTTTAGATCCACTACTTTTTGTATTTGCCGGTCTATCTTCGCTTTTTCTAACAACTTTCTTGACAGTTACTTCAACCGTTTTGACATCTTTTTTCACCCTCTGGCCATCCTCGTTCTTCTCAACAACAGAATCGATGGTTTTCTTTAGGTCTACGTTTTTCTTCACTTCTCTAGTGTTGGTCTTTAAGTTAATTTCTTTCTTCACACTTACGTTCTTCTTAACCTATATAGAACAAGGTCTCATTTACTGTTTCTTTCGTGCTATACAAAAATAAGGTAGAATCAAATGTATCTTAAATAATATACACTAAAGCCTATAAACCTGACTAAATGAAATTCTGACAATAATGTTTAAGTAGTTTAAGTTTAAGTAAGTTTTAGTTTTGTTGTATAATTTAACATACCGAGTACCGAGCAGCTATTCATTTTACTTTATAGAGCAAATGATTGTAATAGATATTTTATTTAGATTAAAGCTGCAAAATTAGTTTAAAGCATTTTTATTATCGCCATGTTGGTCACATTGCGCCGTGATCAGCAACGTTGTCGTTTATTATTTGACAATTATCATAATGTCAGTCATTATTTTGTATAATATCGTGTTGTTGTTGAATCTTTGGGAGTAATTCTCGTTTTTTGCTGATTTTCATAGTCTTTTTTTAAAAATTGTACTTTTAAGCACAAACAGTTCGTTTAAAAACTAAATTTTCGAGTTTTTGTATTGCATTTCTTGAAATTGTGTTGAAAATATGCCGAAGCATTTAAATAATCGAAGCAAAGGGCTTGTAGCTTTCCTGATAAAAAATTTTGAACGAGAACGTGACAATATAGGTTCTTTATTCCCTTTGACTGCAGTTAGCGAAGTAAGTTTGATTGGTAAGCACATTATACCACTTTAGTTATTTCTACTTATTTCGATTTCAAGCGAGTAGCTGCTGCCTTGAGCTTGATTTTCATGCATCCGTTGTCCGACGATACGTTCATACGATATTAATTGCATTGGTTGTATTTAAAGGCTTCGATTGGTTAACCGTTTCTAACCAACCGAAGTCTTTAAATTCAACCAATAAAATTAATATCGTATCATCGTGTCGTCGGACAACGGATGCATGAAAATCAAGCTTTAATCTTATATATTACTACTGTTAATGTCAGTGTGACCTCTACTCTTAATAAATAAATTAATTCCTAAAATATTAACTATTAACTTAAAAATAAAACGTAAAAATCTTAAAAGAATGATATAATAAATATATTGTTTCCCAATTTTACATTAAGATTCATCTCATAAATCCATCACAATCTGGCAGCGCTGTCGCCATCGCTTGTCACTCAAAGCTGATCATATGCATCGGAGATTGTTTTGCGATTACTTTATATGATCCAGATATAATATACAGGCAGACCGGTGCTACTGCACGCCACTGTCCAAAATACTAACTTGTGAAAGGTTAGGTTTACGTTTATTATTTAGGCATATAATCGCACAGAATTTTTGTCTTACTTTGATTAAAAGATTTTCCACAAAAAACACCAAAGATGAAATTTAGAAATGTAAACAAAGCAAAAACTGTAAGGCGTAAAGTAAGTTGTAAATAAACAATGATGTTGTCAAATTGATACTAATAAATATGGTGTTGTCAATTCTAAGATGTTATAATGAATTATTAATAAAGAAACAAATGAGGAGCGGACTTACTAAATGCATTTTGTCCGTTTTTTAAGATTTTCAACTAAAGGTGGCATTGCAAACTACATACACAGAGTTACAATATGATGCCAGAAACGATGTGTCAAATACATTTTATCGCATTCGAATTAAATGGCGAAAATGCCTTAGACTTTCTATGTGCTGTATGTCCATTGGTAGACAAACAAACAGAACTATGTCTTTGTGTGCTGTAAATATACTGCTGTTTGTCATTGCGATTTGCCAGAGATTTTTTTGTACAATTTCTCTATGTTTTGAATTATACTACTTAAAATAATGAATGGAACTACGACTGGGAACTAAATGTAGTTGGGGATATGGACCGTGGTAACAGAAAAATAAAGAGAAATTTCACGTCTAAAGGACAGTCAACAGTTTTTTTTCAATTTTTTTCAGATATCATCAAAACTAGATTTTCACATGAAGGTGTACTATTTTTATTATTTTTTACCCATTTTTCAAGTATACTAGTTTTTCGGTAAGTTTCTGGCAAAAAGCGTGGCAGTTTTTTTATTTAGCAAAATTCGAAAAAATGGATAAAATGCATCTAGAAAGTCTGCTCCATAAAATAAACGTATCAATAGATAAAAATCTTTATTCCAAAAAAATATTTATGAAAATAAGTATTATTTTTTTAAAAAGCAAAATCAAAAGGAAAATCAAATAAACGAATAATATACAGGGTGTCCCATTAAAAAAAAACATAAGTTAGAATATTTCGAAAATCACAGCTTCCAGAGAAAAACTAGTTACGCCACTGTATTCTAGGGAAGTCGCTTTTTTGATAAATTATAAAATATCCAAGATACAAAGGAGATCGAAAAATGCAACATTTTCAAATCGTCCTGTATTTCAGGAACCAAGGAGGCTAGGACAAATCATTTTTAGTTTCACAAAAAAGGAGCACAGTGATTTGCAAACCGCATCTTTTTATCTTCATTTATAAAGGAGAAACCCCATAAAACAAACAAAAATGGGACACCCTGTACAGCGTTATAAGTAAAGTCCACAATTATATCTACTATAGTTTATTTAGTAAATTTTGCAATAGGTAATCATTGACTTAGGGTGGTTGCAACGAGGTCCCGTAATCCTGCTGTTAAAACATAACAGCTGGTATTTATATCGGGTGCGTCTCAAAAGTGGCTCACCCCTATAACTTTTTTATTTTTTCAGATAAAAAAATGAGATTTGGTATGTTAGTATATGACATAAATTAGGATTGATTGACGTATTCAGTTGTTTTCTGTCACTTCCTGTTTCACCGGAAATTACTACAACTTTTGATTTTTAAATGGCACCCTCGGTATTTTTTTACTTTATTTGATAGAAAATGACATATCATATGTGAACTTTTGACATTTTTGCTTAAAGCAAATTTGAATTTTAAATTTCATTCTAGAGTGCCATGGCTGTGTTAAAAACACTAATTTTTAATCAAGGAGCCTGGGAAAAATAGATTTGATCGTTTAATATCATTAGTGCCTTGTTCTGGCCGGTTAAAAGATGCTCAAATCGTATTTTTAATCATATAACAATTTTTTCAAATGGAACGAGGGTGGCTCATTACCATATTTGGAAAAAGCATTTTTTTACGAATAATTTGGTACCACACACTTGGCATTTCGAGTCAAATTGTCCCTATGAATCGCATGTTGCAATTTCAAATAATCCATATTCAAAAATGTCAAAAGTTGACATATGATATGTCATTCTATTCAGAGTCCCAATTTCTATCGAATAAAGTAAAAAAATATCGAGGGTGCCATTTAAAAATCAAAAGTTGTAGTAATTTCCGGTAAAACAGGAAGTAACAGAAAACAACTGAATACGTCAATCAATTCTAATTTATGTCATATATTAATATACCAAATTTCGATTTTTTATCTCAAAAAATAAAAAAGTTATAAGGGTGAGCCACTTTTGAGACGCACCCGGTATATAAAAACCAATTGTTTTGTTTTAACAGCAGGACTACAGGAGGTCGTTGCAGCCACCCTCAAATGCTAATTTTACTGACTAAAATATTAAATATTAAAAAAACACTTACCTCTTTTTTATTTCTTGTTTCAGCTATTTTCACTTCTTTCTTCATTTCTACGTTCTTAGTCACCTCCTTCTTGCTTTCCACAACTTTTTCTTGAACAACTTTAATAGCAGACTCAGAATCCTTCCTCGTAACTCTTTTAGGTACTTCTGATACAGGCGTCTTTTTCGATTCATCATTATTTCCTGATCTTCTACCCGAATCTGATCCTCGTTTACCACCAGTTTCTTTTTCAGACTTCTTCGCTTCTGGAGTGGCTTTCTGTGTATTTGACGTGCTTGGTGCGGCTTCTGGGGAAGATTTCCCAATTTTTTCTGACTTGTTCTTTAAAATTATTGCTCGCATCCTTTGTTGAGCTTTCTTACGTGAAACGATAGTCTTTTTAAGAGTTGTGGAACGCAGTTTTGGTTTTACAACGGTAACAGTGTTGCTGGGAATCAGAATTCTTCTTTTAACTTGAGGCCTCTGCATTGTAGACGCTATTTTAGGGCTCCTAATAACAGTAGTTAGTCCTGAACGAGTTATACGAGCGTTTGAGCGCACCTCTTGTTTTAATTTAGCCTTGGCTTGTGGCTGTTTCGCTTGTTTCACTTTGTTTGTTTCTGGTTTAACTCTTTCCTTACTGGTTGTTACAGTTTTGCTGGATTTTGGTGTTTCAGGGACCTTTTTAAACGCAACGTTTGGTTTTTTGGTTGTTTCCTTTACCAAAATATTTCTTTTGGCCTTGAAAGGCAGTTCTTTCTGAACAAATTTACCTCTGAAGCTTCTCAAACACATTTTGGGTTTGACTTTCGGCTTCAAAGAGGTCTTCAAAGTTTGGGTTGTTACTTTCACATGTTTGGTTGCTATAACTTTAGTTTTTTGTAGTGTATTCGTTTTCTTTGTTACTGTTTCGGTTTTCTGGATGGTGTTTGTTTTTACTAAGGTTTTGTTTGTTGTTTTTTCGCTTAATTTACTGATCGTCAGTGCACGTATTTTGGCCATTTTTTGTTCTTGGTATTTTCTTCGAAGTGCCTAATTTCCAAGAGTAATATTTAAAAAAGAAAGTATACATAAAAATAGGTATTTGTTATTTTAACTAACAGGTATATTCCAAATATGTAAATAGTATTGATTATATTATAAATCTAAAGCCTTTATACTTATAATATCATATATAACAAGAATATGATATACAGTGAGTTAATGCATAAGTGTGAAAAAATTAACAAGGGTTCTATGCTAATCTGCAATGTTATTTGGCTATAGGTACTGGACAAATCAAAATCACAATTTAATTTAAAAAAAAAAAACGGTTCACGCATTAAAAAGGAAAAATTTGGAATGTGGATGTCCCTAAATAAATCCACATTCTTTCATAGAATGATTATTTATGTACTTATGCCCTATGCCACACACAGGGTGTTCAAACAAGTACTTCTCTTGCAATATTTTAATATATCATATGAGCGAAAAAAAACCCGTCCAGTTGGCTTGAATATTCCCCATATAATTTTATATATAAAATGACAGCAATCTGCATTTCTTAGCCATCGCTGACGCCGTTTTTTTTTCGATCATATTGTATTTCCGAGTATATTTCTCTAAGTATATCTTACTTTTGAAATAAAAAAATACGAAATAAATAAAAAAAAATGAATATGTTTGTGTAAATTGAGATAGCTAATAAATTTGCTAAATAAAAAAAAATATAAATCTTCATAATATTCTAAAAAGACAAACTTATTCTAATTTTTTTGTGCTATTTATTTACACTCTGGATAGGATAATGATTCTGTAAAAAATACTGCATATAATCCACTATACAATATGATGAAAAAACGGCGTCAGCGATGGCTATGAAATGAAGATCGCTGTCATTTAATATGTAAAATTATATGGGGAATGTTATTGACGTTCATTTTCAAGCCAACTGGCTTCCGTTTTTTTCGATCATACGGTATATTTATATATTGCAAAAGTAAAGTACCTGTTTGAACACCCTGTATGTGGCATAGGTACTCAAATAATCGTTCTATCAAAGAATGTGGATTTATTTAGTAACATCCAAACTCCAAATTTTAACTTTGGTAGATGGGGAATGTTATTGATGTTCATTTCAAAGCCAAGTGGACGCCTTTTTTTTCGATCGTAAGGTATAAAGAATACTGCATATATCAACAAGTTTTATGATCAAGTAGGCTTTGTATCATGACAGATGAACAATTCTTTATTGAAATGAAGTTTTTTATCTGTCAAAGACAAAGCCCACTAACATAAAACATTATTTATTGTAAGGTAGTTTATAATACTGTATGATCGAGAAAAAAACGGCGTCGTCGATGACTATGAAATAAAGATCGCTTTTATATGGGAAATGTCATCCATTGTCTTTCCCAGCCAACTAGACGCCGTTTTTTTTCGATCATAAGGTATCTACATTCTATAACATAGAATATGAGAAAATATACATATTCTAATATACAATATGATCAAAAAGTTAATTCAGATTTCGGATTAAGCATGCATTTTATGATGACAAAAAAACTATTGATACAGGAAATTATATTTGGATTGTTTAACAGTAAAATTTAAAGCCTAATTGATCATAAAACACTTTGATAACATAATGGATTACATTTACAATTGTTATCAAGAAATTATCTAATTATTACTCTGTCTTACCTGTAATGCTAGAGCATGCCTCCTTTTTCTCTCCATTTGCCTACTTATAACAATCGGATCTGCCCTCTTCCTAACTCCAAAAGCTATAAATGGTTTTTCCGAAGATCCAGCGGCACATTTCGCAATATCAATGGGACCATTCTTAGGAGAATCACCCTTGATCTCGTGCACTTGCCCATCTGTTACTATCGATGCTGTATTGAAGAATTGCAAGTTAGGCGGCAGAATTGGAGTGCCCCGAAAACAGAGAAACGTTAGAAAGTCTTCTGTGTTAGGCCGTTTCATTGGCAGAGGCATAACATTTGTATGTGGTATTAGATCAGCTGGTTCTAAATCTCTGATTGGTGTTATTACGGGGCTATGCACTCCGGAATTTTGGGCAAACTTCCTCTGAGCTTGAACCTTTGTTCTGTACGTTAAGAGAGAGAGAGATTCCCATTATAATATTTGGTAAAATAATGCTAAAAACAAAACTCATACCTTTTAGGGCTCTCGTCCAGGATAGGCGAGGGGCAGGTATCCTTGCGTTTTCTTTTCATTGTGTACGGTTCGTTTAGTGTTTTTCTGGTACAATAAATACCGGCAAATTACAGTTTATTTTCTATTTTGCAAGCACAAAAACAAAACGCTACATAACCTAACTTTAATTCACCGATTTCTGATTCATTTTAACAAATTCCCACGTTCACTTTCTCATGATAAAGACGCTGCAAATAAGTAACCGGTGGTTATTCTATCCGGGCAAATAATTTTCCAGGTGCCCGTATGTTAGATTTTTTTATAAAAAAATATAATAATGAGAAAATACAATTTTAAATGATATTTTATTACGCATGCTTACACCGGATGTACAGAGATCTTTCTTTTTTCAATTTACTGTTTTTCTGCTCTTGTGTCATAGATGGCACCACCAACAGCAAACTTTTTTAAATTTAAATTTTAAAATTTTAATCTATTTTATTTTATTAATAGTAAGGAAATAAACACTTAACAGGGAAAAAAATAAAACAACACTTCTCAACTATTTTTTTATTACTTTTGGTCGTAAATTTGATTATTTACTTTTTAAAACTAATTTCTTTCACATATATGTACGTAGAAATAGTACAGATATTTGAAGTATACTTATTCATTGTTAAAATCACAGTTAGAAAATACTTCAGAATAGGTTCAGTAATTAATTTTTGATTTAAATAAGTACCTTAGGCTGCACCACAGCATTTTGCAAGTTATAGAATTCTAGATTATCAGAAAATCCTTTTATATGACAAAAAATTATTTTAAAAGTTTATAGAATATATTTTTGATTTATACTTCCATGGAAAGAAATTATTGCCATAAAATTGAGCCATATATTAAATTATATGTTAAATTAACACAATTTTTCTACATAATTTTGTATATATATTATGAGCAATAATATAACGTTTTTATTGTATAATTGTTTGTCATGTAAAATGGTTATTGAAACACAAAATAACATCGTATATTAAAGTAAATATTAAGTAATTCTTATTGTATATAAGTAGTTTTTCTTTAAGGAATCTATATAATTTGAGTTTTTCTCGTCTAAAGTTTTTTATATCTAGGTATCTAAAAAATATTTGATAGGTAAAGATTTTTCATACCGCTCTAACATTATAATATTTTAAAGCTATCCAATAGAATATACCAGACTGTACACTAACATAACCTTTTTTTAATATCTATAGCGTCCGTCTAAATATATAGAGATATCATCTGTTTAGTTTAATATTTGTGTTCTAAAATGTAAAGATGTGTATTATATCTTTAAAATATCCGATCTCCAATCTATTGTATAAGTATCTTTTTTATAATTACTATTCTTGTTTGAACATCAGCCCTGCATTAAGAAAACATAATCACAGTCGAGTTAAAACCTGTTTTTAATTCTATTTACCACAGTGGCGTACCCAAATCGTTACCAAAAAATAACGGCGTACAGAGATTGGTTGGAAATGAAGATCGTTGTCATTTTAAATGTAAAATTATATGAGGAATATATTCGAACGTCATTTCCAAGCCAACTAAACTGGACGCTGTTTTTTTCCAATCATACGGTATATTTTTGCTTGTGAACACTTTTGTGATACGCCACTGAGGGTGTCATTTATGCAGATATATATTTAGCTTTTCAAGCAAACGTTGATTATTAAATATTGCATTAAAAAATATTTAAATATATTACATAATAATAATGTAAAGATAAAATAAAACTTGACAAAAATTCAACATTTGCTTGAAAAATTTCATATTACATACAGGAAGTTTCACAATCATTGCCTACTAAAGCTTGCGTGAGTGGTCTCATCTTATGATGAAATAAATGATCTCTATCTTAAATGAAAAGATTTCTATCTTAAATGAAATAATGTAAGATGCGATAGTTAAATTTTTAATAATTCATATTTTAGTATTTTTGATCGCCATGGTATAAAACGTAATAAAAATGACGTTTATATACGTCATTTTTATGACGTCGATAATAGTCGTAAATTACTTAATATTTGAATGCTTGCCATTCATTCTATAAAGGGTATCCCAGAAATAAGTGCAAATATTCTGGTTTATTTGCAAATTATTTAATATCTGTTTTTTTTGCAAAAAAATATATTTTTCTTGACATTTTCCGAGAAAAATTAAAAAACTTTTTAGTGCCACTTGTTTATTCACTTGAGGCGTCGAATACGTTGAAAAACCTCGTAAAAACGCGTAAAAAACCTTAATAGCCGGCTCTCGCCAGCGGTTCTCAAAATGTCACCATTATTTTTTTAAATTTTCAAAGTTAAATAACTCGGTTATTTTCAATTTATTTTAAAAATAGTAAAGAGTAAAAATGTTTATTTTGACCAGTTCTACCACCCCTTAAAATATCTGTACTTATTTCTGCGACACCCTGTATTCAATAATTCAAAAACTAATCAACTTTTTAAGAAGTATTCCATTTTTATACTCAATACCTTCAAGCAATCAATTATGAATCATCCTGTATATACCATATAAGAATCCCATATCTTTCGTTTCCATATCACAATCTTGATCAATAAAATTCTGATTTTAAAACTGCTCTTCTCACTTATAAGTTAACTCTAGTAAAACTAATTTGTTCATTTAATCCTAATAGTCGCTAATTTATATAAACTAAGTACCTAACTCTCTTAAAACTTCTTCAAAATAAGAACTATCATCATAATTATTTAGTCGTTTCCTAAAAGGAAAAAAATACTACTACAATTTCTTCTTCTCGTAATGTCTACGAAAACCTATCATAATAGTTTGATATACAGTATGATCGAAAAGTTTCATAACCATATCAGCTAGAGGAAGTTGACAGATAGTTAAATATTGTATATCTGTAATTATGAAAAGCTCTCATGATCATGAACCAATAAAATAATTATTAACAAGAGATTTTTCTCTTTTGTCTTAAGTATTAATGCACGATTATAAAATGAAAAGAAATCGAGACAGCCATGGAACTGTAAGTAACTATACAGGATGAGTCTTAAATAAGTGCAAATATTTTCAGGACTGGTAGAAATATATTTTCCTTTACCTCTTTTTAAATAAGTCTAAAATAACTGAGTTATTTTACTTTGAAAATTTGAAAAAAAATGATTTTTCGCTTAAATTTTGAAAACTACTGGATCTTTTCTAGGTTTTCTTTCTCGTAAATTTAATCTACCACCTCTAAAATTTTTTAAAAAATTCGAAAATTCTGAAAACATTATTTTCGCGAAAAAAACATAAACATGTTTCTGGGGTGGAAATATACTACCCCGAAAAATATTTGCACTTATTTAAGACCCACCCTGTATAGAATTATAATCAATACATTTATTAAGTACTTTGTTTTAATTCTAAAGTAAGATTTGTGGTAAGATCTAAACTTTATGTATGAAGAATTTAGTGATTATGATAAATTACCTAATAATAAAAAGTTTTTCCTCTAGTACAGATAATTCAGGGACATATTGTATATATTAAATATAATCAGATAAATAAGTTTCAAGATTAGTGAAATATTAATAATTATAATATTTATAATTTTATGAAGTGCTATATAGAGAGGGTAGTTTTTAAGCATGAAGTTAACATTGGCCTCGACATTGGCATTGAAAAAACATATTTTAAGAAAAAAAATTAATAATGTTTAAAAACAACAAATTTCGTTTTAAAAGTACTGAGAGAATTGAAACAAAACTTGAGAAATAAGCAAATTAAAAACAGAAAATAGCCAAAGAAATTAAAAGAAAAACATTAATCGGCTGATAAACAGTCTTAATACGCAGGTTCTTTTGATTACTACTGCGCATAAGCCTCCATACCAAGAATGCTTCTCTGCTATGTTGGAACAAATCTATTATGTCCTGCTACAAAAACTGCACCGCTCTCTCTGTATATACAAATAACAGACCTTATTTACTTACTGATTATCGATATTAGAGTTAATTTGCTGTCGGTATACATGACAGAATGTTTAAAGAGAATACATATTTACATGGCTGTTTCGATCACTTTTCCTTTTCACAATATACTAAACTAATAAAAATGACAAAAACAATATAAAAATAGTCAAAAACGATTAACAAATTGAGGATTATAATAAAAATTAAGTGAAAAATTAAGTGTGTTTAACCAGGAAGTGGTGCTTCCGCATAGAAGTCGGGTTCGTCTTCATCCACATCTGCTTGATCTCCGTCCAACTGAAAAATAAATCACTTTTATTAAAACATACTTTTTCTTTTAAGCAGTGAAATGCAATCAGTCAGAATGTGTTGAGTGTAGAGTAATGAAATGGTATGTCAGTACTGTATAAATACTGTTGAGATATTATACAGGGTTGTCCTTAAAGTACGCGGAGAAAATTAGCATAAATATTCATCAGGCATTGTGATGTTTTCAGGTTATTTGGTTTCCTAAAATTTTAAAATTAACCTAAAGGAGAGATGAAAATAAAGAGTAACCAAATATGGAATACCATTTTGTGTTTGTGTTTTATAAAAAAAAGGTATTGTAAACAATGCCCTCTAAATAAAGTAGCCATTAAATTATACGTAAAAAGATGCTTTGGAAATGTTTTCATAAAAATTCAAAATTTTCCATAGCAAAAAAGTTACAGTGATTTGTTAAAAATGCATATTTTTGAAAAACACCCCGTAACTTCGAAACGGTAACAGATATCGATATGCGGTTTTCACCATCATGTTTTTGATAAAAATTGAGCTTCAGATACCGATATTAGTTTTCGTCTATCTCCTATAGAAAAAGGTGTTTCCCTTAAAAACACTTTTGTGATACGTCACTGAGGGTGTCATTTATGCAGATATATATTTAGCTTTTCAAGCAAACGTTGATTATTAAATATTGTATTAAAAAATATTTAAATATATTACATAATAATAATGTAAAGATAAAATAAAACTTGACAAAAATTCAACATTTGCTTGAAAAATTTCATATCACGTACAGGAAGTTTCACAATCATTGCCTACTAAAGCTTGCGTGAGTGGTCTCATCTTATATTTATAAATGAAATAATGTAAGATGCGATAGTTAAATTTTTAATAATTCATATTTTAGTATTTTTGATCGCCATGGTATAAAACGTCATTAAAAAATGACGTTTATATACGTCATTTTTATGACGTCTATAATCGTCGTAAATGACTTAATATTTGAATGATTGCCATTCATTCTATAAAGGGTATCCCAGAAATAAGTGCAAATATTCTGGTTTATTTGCAAATTATTTAATATCTGCTTTTTTTTGCAAAAAAAATATATTTTTCTTGACATTTTCCGAGAAAAATTAAAAAACTTTTTAGTGCCACTTGTTTATTCACTTGAGGCGTCGAATACGTTGAAAAACCTCCTGAAAAACGCGTAAAAAAACATAATAGCCGGTTCTCGCCAGCGGTTCTCAAAATGTCACCATTATTTTTTTAAATTTTCAAAGTTAAATAACTCGGTTATTTTCAATTTATTTTAAAAATAGTAAAGTTTTCATAAAATTCGTAGAAAAAGTAGAAATGTTTTCATAAAAATTCAAAATTTTCCATAGCAAAAAAGTTACAGCGATTTGTTAAAAATGCACATTTTTGAATGACACCGATATTAGTTTTTGTATATCTCCTGTAGAAAAAGGTGTTTCCCTTAAAAGTGTCCAATTTGACCCACCATGTACATATAATTGTTTGCCAATATACTGCAGCCGTAATTGAGAAAATACCACTGGAGATCCAGGTCGCAGAAAAAATAAATTAAAGCGAATATTCTCCAAAGAATAATATTTCTTCTTGTATTATGTTTTAATGCATTGTGCACGCCAGGGGAAAAGTTAGATTTCACAAGAAAAAGTCACATCGAGGAGATTTATTTCTCCACGGAGAAAAGGAAAATGGAAATAGTTCTTTTCTTGGCGATGTTGACATATAAATAAATTACCTATCAGATCTACGGTAAAAGAAAATAAAAAAATTCACTTGTGTTTTTAGTCCCAGAGCTAAAAATAAAGGAATATATATATTTATAGAGTACAGGGGGGATTATTGGTTTTTAATTTTTTAATGAAATAAGATCTTATAATTTAGAATCTTAGATTGACGATTAACAATTTTTTTTCTAAAGTTATTTCGGATCATAGTTTTCAGCTTATTCAACCATTTATCCCTGCTAATTTCCTAATATCACGGTCTCATTTCAGGTTTGGTCTTCTTCTGACCAATTGTCCATCTGTTGTCCATCCTGTTGTCCGTTGCCAGATGTCCTGCCCATTGCCACTTTAGGAGTTGATGACATTTATTACCCGGGTCTTTTGTCGTATCCACTCTATTATTTTACAGCTTTTCTAGGTTAGTTCCAACATATTTCGTTCCATTGAGCATTGTGCAACCTGCAGTTTCTTTATATGTCTATTTTAAGTGTCCGGGTTTCGCATGCATAGGTCATGACAGGTAGTACACATTAGTCGAATGTTTTCTTATTTAGATAAAGTGCCATTCAAATAAGATGATATGAGTTTCTTCTATAAGTATTCCATGCTAACTTAGTTCTGTTGATTTCTGGTAGTAGAGATCTCGGGCTGTGTATTTGTTGTCTCAAATATATAATATATCCTTCTACCATTTCCAGTGTTGTGTTATTTAATAAAATATCTTTTCTCACTACTAGTTCGTTGCATATTGCTTTAGTTTTTGCTAAATTCATTTTGAGACCTACATTATTACCGGCTGTATTTAATTCGTTAATTTGTGCTGGTAGTTCTTCAGGACTATTGGCAATTAAAACTATGTCATCAGCGAATCTTAGATCGTTCAGATATTCTTCATCTATTTTTAATCCTTTGTTGGTCCAGTCCAGTTGACCGAAAATTTCTTCTAGTGTTCCTGTAAACAGCTTTGGGGATATCGCTTCTCCCTTGTCGTACTCCTTTACCAGTTGGGAACTCTGGGGTTGTTTTCTTATATCATTATATACTCTTGCTTTGGCTTCTTTGTATATAGTGGCGAGAGTTTCTATATAAGGTCTGTCTGTTCGAATACAACAAACGCATTTGTTTTTTACTATTTTTGATAAACACCTAGTATTAGTTTTGTAAATATGTTAAAATTATCCTACTACCTAATGTATACAAAATAGAAAGTTGATCACGAAAGGATGCTTTCACACGCTTCGCTAAGTTGACATGCAAAACGCTTAAAATACCACCCTTGACGGCCATGTGTTTTTTTTATCTTGTTCGAATGGCATATCTTAAGTTTCTATTTTGTCACGAAGAGACGCCCGTGAACCCTCTTAGGCAGCATCACGCCTATTAATTTAGTCTCTGAATTGTACATTTTTCGCTAATTCTCTCAATATTACTCTCGCCTCAGTTAGGCATTGTTATTTCTCTCTCTACCCTATTTATTGTAGGTATTTTATATATCAAGTTTACCTTTAAGTTAATGGGAAGCTGCAGTGATTTTGTTTAATTTCAATTTGATTTACCGTTTTTAAAGTTTTATCATTTGCCAATATACGTGTTGTTGTTGACCCTAGTAGTTTTTTTTGCGACGTGTACTGGATCCACTTTGAAAATAATTACACATTGGAGAGTAATTTGAATATTACTCTCAATTTTGGATTTGGTGCTCTCGAGCAGTAGTACCGATACACTGTCGAGATCTTGTTTCGCTAGGGCTTCTATCATTGCCTTAGGATATATTGAGTCGAAAGCCTTCTCAAAGTTTATAAAAGCTATGGCTAGTGGAAGTACGTATTCTTTTGTTCGGCTGATAGTTCATAGTGCATGTATGTGATCAATGATCTTCTAAAAAAGCCGCTTCTAATGGCTGCTTGTTCTTGTGGTTGTGCAGCGTCTAGCGTATTTTGTATTTTGTTGTTTATTATTTTTGTGAATATCTTGTATGTTACTGGTAGTAGGCTGATTGGTTTATAGTTTCTGATTTTCTTATTGTAGTTTTTGCCTTCTTCTTTCTCATGTCTGTCTATAGTTTCTGATATTGTCTTATACATAGTGTCTTATAACATACAAGACAGTATCTAAATGAAAATCCATTTGATCATAAGTGGTGGATACTAATGCAAGAAGAATTTCCACTTTAAGTGAATCACGAGATAACCTGCTATAATCAAAAACAAACATGTAAAGGTACGAATGTACATATTTTGACGAAATATTATTATTATCATCAGAATGCACTGTGGTCGTTTATCTCTGACCTCGTTCGTTCGCTTCCCTATTTAACATTCTAAACGCGTCGACTCTTTTAAGAATGGAACAGTTAGTTTTGGCAACGCGTTAGATTCCCTTTAATTTGTTATTTCCGCCGTGTCCTTATACAGCACGCGTACAACCTCTTTTTCTTCTAATGCAGGTTACTTTTCACCCATTGTAGCTCAATAGAAATGTTTTGATTTACATTCGAGTAAAATTCTGTTATAAAACGTAGAGAAATATATTTCCAATTATACACCTTCATTCCATTATTTCTTTTTTCTTCATTTTTTTACAGGAGGAGGAATATTTATGATTTCTTTTATTACTGTATAGCCAGAGTCCAGTTTTTTTTTCTCCTCCTTTCAGGCTATTCATCATAGTTTCTGCTGTAAAAGGAATGCTCATAGCTATATAGTACTGATTACTGATGTCTTAAGGCGGGTTCTCACTTGTCAGTTTCGCTGACGCAGTCTGACTGATTCAGTGATACTGAACAAATAATGAACGTCAGAACACATTTTCATGTTAAATGATCAGTAAATTCGTACTTTCAGTTAAAATGAAAACCAGTTCTACTTTTTTCATTTTTGACTGATCATTATCGAATAATGAATAGAAACTGAAGCGTGAGAACTACATTTTCGTGATTTGTTCAGTTTACAAGTTAAAGTTAATTAATTATTTTAATATATATCTCCAAAAAAATCCTTTATAGGTATTTCGCAACTGCACTGCAAGAAAATCTACAAAATAAAATAGTTATTTTTTGTAAACACTTCTGCGTTAAACCTAAACGGACACTGCTTGTCAGAAGTTATGTTCACAGTTATACAAAATTGCCTAACGAAGAAAAAAATGCTTCGTCGGAAAAAAGTCTATCGTCGGAAGCAAAAAAAATCAAAGAATAAAGAAAAAAAACTATTTAAAATATTTAAATTCAAACTATTATGAGAACACTTTAGTTTTTTTTTAAAGCAGATG